ACTGCAACTAATAGTGAAAGCCCACGATTCAAGGTCATCTTTGGCCATCATTTGGAACACCACGGACTGCCTCGAACAATCATCATTGGCACATCTCCGGCAAGAATACCAACTTCCATGGTTTCCTATCGGTCCTCTGCACAGAACTATTCCAGCCCCCTCCATCAGCTTATTGAAAGAGGACCAGAATTGCATTTCATGGATGGACAAACACTCACACAACTCTGTCATCCATGCAAGCGTGGGACGCATAGCCTTCTTGGACAGTAAAGAACTAGCAGAAATGGTGTGGGCTCTGGCCAACAGTGAGCACCCTTTCTTGTGGGTGGTTCGAACCAACTCCATATCATTGCCAGAAAGTTTCCAAGAAACTGTTGGAGAAAGGGGTTGCATAACGAAATGGGCACCCCAAAAGCAGGTCTTGGCACACAGCGCAGTTGGAGGGTTTTGGAGCCATTGCGGTTGGAACTCAACCATTGAAAGCATCTCTGAAGGAGTTCCTATGATATGCCAACCATATTTTGGGGACCAAAGAGTGAACTCAAGGTACTTGAGCCAAGTATGGGCTGTAGGGTTGGAATGGGAGAATGACATGAACAGAGGACCAATAGAGGAAGCTATAAGAATGCTTATGGTGGGCAAAGAAGGGGAAGTGATAAGGGAAAGAACAAAAGATTTGAAGGTGAAAATCGAACTTTCTACGAAGCAAGCCGGTTCTTCCTACAATTCCTTGAATGAATTGGTAGACCAAATCTTGTCATTCTAATTGCATAAATGTTAAAGATGATATCAACAACTCAATGTAAATACATAATCAGTTATTGCAAATTTCATCATCCATTATATATTATTCCATACAAAGTAGACGAACACAGCATACAATTTCATACTCCATTAGCAGAATCAGTTATAGCAAAGATCATCATTTCTAATATTTTGTACAATACAGAGTAGATGAACGCAACATCTAACATCATACAACATAGCACATTAAGTTCAGCTAAAAGCATTACAAACTCACCTATTTTTTTTCATTATAATCACATAAAGACAAACTTTATTCACATTCTGACACAAAACGCAGCTACCCATTATCTTAAATTAGCCAAAAGAGGACCTCACCACCTTAATCTTCGCCAGAAATTTCAATGGCTCTGATATTGGGTCTGCTGGGCTCCTCCTTAGGAACAGTGACAGTGAGAACCCCATTGCTCATGAAGGCCTTAAGCTGCTCAATCTTGGCGTTGTCCGGAAGCTTAAACTTTGTCATGAAGCTACCGCTGTCTGTACTGATCTGAAGCACACGCTCGTCTTGAAGCTCCACAAGCACGTCCTCGTTCATGAACGCAGGAAGAGCCGCCTTTAGGATGTGGGCATTTCGGGTCTCTCTCCAATCTAGTCTTGAGTTTACCGAAGAACCCAGATTGAATTCCCGGAAAACGTTGGAGAGTGAGGAAGGGAATGGGAAAGGGGAATCTGTGAATGGGTCCCACAGGTCAAGAGCCAAGGAAGGGTCGAGGTCACTGCCTCGTTGCTCGTTGATTGGGACGATTGACATCTTTGTTCAACTGGGTTTGGTTTGGGATTGAGTTTCTGAGAATCAAGAGATCAAAACAAAAATGGAGAAGAACGTGAGCAACTTTTTCCAAGGAATTTGTGAAGTGAGCTGAGACTGGTGGCTGTTTTAAATGGTGACAAGTGGATTGAGGTAGAAGAAACACCTCGGAGATTCTAGAAATTGGGTGGGCCCCGCCTAATGTGTTGGACTAAATTAATGGTCTTTGGTTTTGGTCGAAAGTTGAGAACTTGTCTATCGACTGTGGGGTGGATAGCAACACTCTTTACCATGCTTTTTATTTCTTTATAGGCAACCAACAATGCAACTCTGCGATATGGCACCCTTCGAAGTCCCAGCTCTTCATCCCAAAAGCCTACTTATTGAGCTTTGAAAAACTCACTCCTATCAATGGCTTCCTTTGCATGATGCATGAAATTGTTCATTCCGAGTCACTTCACTCTGTTTCTGTGCCTTGTCACCAATACAGGCGTTGTCAATCTTGAATGGCAGCTGAAACATCATTGATTTCATCTCCTGCATATTGTCTGCACAAAGAGCAGAACCCTCAGAATCACAAATGTGTGGCCAGACATATGAGAATTCTGAGGACTATGGAAATAAAATGAATTAGTTAGTGACAATGTGCAGCAATGAACAATTTAAAACAATGATACTATGATCTCTGTTATCTTCTAGCCTCATTCAGCAATCATGTTTGCTTAATAAGTAAGCTCAATCTCCCTAATCTCTGAATTTCGACATGAAAAAAAAAAAAAACCCTAATCAATTTCAAAGTTCCAAATCTGTGACTGATGCATGTTATGGTAATGTCAATGATACCCTTATTTCTGTACCCAAAAAAAACCCTGGTCAATCATTAATTTTTTCCAGGCAGCACCATTATGACCTCTTCTAAGTTCTAACTTTCTAGCCACACTTTTATCATGTTAACAATCATGCTTGGGATAGAAAGCAAGATTTTGACTTCAGCATATTCTTGAGAAGCCACAACTAAAGGGTCTCTTGGATGCTAAGCCAAAAGTCTAATCAACTATAAAGATAATAACATATACGCAAGTGTTTGGGAAAATATGTGAATAGACAGAAGTGAAAAAATAATAAAAATAGTAAAAAAGATTCTAATGTATGTGCTCCCATAGATTTTCATGTAAAGCAATTGTGTTCCTTTCTCGCAGCTTTGCTTGAAATTTTGAATCTATAGAAGCTTGTATAAATGAAGCCAAGTGCTAATTGGATTAACTTGACATGGGTAAATGAAGAAGAAAAGAAGAAAAGAAGAAAAGAAGCACAGACCATATAAAGCAGCGCATTATGTGCCTTCCAAATAAAAACCAAGAAAAGAAATATACTGGGAAATATCTTACTAGTAAGACATTCTGAGTATGTACCTGGTCTTCAAGATATAAAAAACAAAGTGGCACCACTTGGCATCGTGAGATATAATATCTAGCATGAGCTAGTACACTACCTAGAAGACCACAGCTACACAACAGATTAAGACTGCTATAGTATCAGCTGGGTCTCCCATTTTCAGGTTCGTGTTATGCTAATAAAAGTCTGTAGAGAATGGACAACAAGACACCAGAAATCAGAGTACGATCAAAATGAAATTCATCTTGCATACTCCCATTAAATTCTGATACCAGAGGATATAGATAGAATGCTTCTGGTTTTTTTTTTTTTTTTTTTTTCATATAGCAGTACTTGCCTCTTGCTAAATTTGAGAGAGTGGCAAACCATGCGATTATGTTACTTCTTGACACAAACGTGTAACTTGTTCTGCAGTCACCATGCTCGTTATTTCTTGAACAAGAAGTCATGGTTGAACCTACTCAATTTCTAGGGATGCAAAGTATACTAACAATATTTCAAAACAAGAAAGGAAAAAAAAACAGTTGAAAACTCCAAAAAAACAAAAAACAAAAAACATCGGTATTCATTGATAAAAGATCCACTCATTACAATTATAACTGACATGGACGATTTTTCATATTTTGAAATCGTTGCATAATAACCTCATCGTCGATACTATCAAGAATGTCTGTCTCAATATATGGAATCAATCTATCCTTCATCCTTTCATCTTCCATTCGGTTGCGTAATCGATTCTTCACAATATTCACAGCAGAAAACACCCTATCTATCCTGGGAGTTGCAACTGGTAAGATAAGTGCCAATGTCAACAGCAAGTAAACTAATGGGAAAACAGAGTCTTTTTTTGTCTCAACCATTTTTTGTGCAAGATCAGCGATCCCGTTCAATCCTGAAAACTCGATGCTAGAACGCATGTCCATAATGTACTTCTCAAGCTGATCTTCAAGTATCATTAAGTCAAGTGTAGAAAAGTCATTTGGATAATACTGAGCAAGACAAATCAACTTTTGTTTGTCAAAAGCAGAGAATGAATCACTCGGATTCAAACATGCCACACAAAGAAGCAACCCTGTATTCATTTCAGTGAATCGAACATTTAGCTCTTGAATTTGCATATCTATAACAGTACAAAACAACTCAACACGATAATAATGCATGTTTGTGATCACCTGATCTCTTTTATTCCCTCGAGTTAGAAACCTATCATCCATGTTATGCACAATATCCTGATCATTTTTTTGTAATGCTTGTGACAAACCATCTGTGATTCGCAAAATGTTTATCATCATATGTAGACTAAAAATAAAACCAAATGACTGGAGGGGACCCAATAGAACCCGTGCTTTAGATTTCTGTTCAGAATCTAATCCAAACTCTGCTATGACCTCAAGTACATCTATCACAGATGAGAACATGGTAAACAAGCTTATCAAAGTCTTAAATTTGGAGCTGCCCTCATTTAGACCTTGTTCACTTAAAAGCTCGCTGGTATTGAGTGCTTCAAAAACTAAAACATCATGTTTCTCCCGAAGAGTGTCACGACATTCAACAAATTCTCCAACAACATTCACCACCTTAGCAACCCAAGCAAAAAGATCCACAATTTCTAAATGATTCTTTGACATGACTATAAGAGTTGAATGAAGATCATGAGCAAAGCAATGGACGTAAAATGCACACTCATTCGCCTTCACTATAAGTGTCTTAAGATTATTCAACTCACCTTGCATATTACTTGTCCCACCATAACCTTGCCCCCGTAACTTAGCCATGCTTAATCCATGAGTAGAAAAGAAATCATCAATCGCCCCCTTAAGCGAGACAGCGGTGTCGTCGGTACCTTGCACAATACCTAAATAACGCTCAATTACATGACCTTTATCTACAAAACGTAATACAATAGCCATCTGATCCTGTGAAGACATGTCATGAAACTCATCAATAAGAATGGAAAATAATGAATCACCAATATCTCTAACGATTGCATTGATGATTTCCGTCGAAATAGCAATTTCAATGTCCTTCTGAGTATCAGATGATGTCAACTTCAGGGTTAAGGAAGCATTGTTCAATGTGACAGCTTTTATATCCTCATCATAATTACATCGTAATCTCAAAAGGTCAGCAAACATTCCTTGGTTGTTTGAATCTTCATATTCATCATCTCCACAGAACAGAAGCCCTTGTCGCAAAAGAAATCTCATGCAACTAACTGATGCACCCAAAAGAGTTTTATATTCAGTTTGAGCTTCGATTTGCTTTGAAAAAGCTTTACAGTTGCTCCAAGCTTGGTTGTGGGCACTCATCGGTCCTCCAACATGACCTTGTAATTTGCCACTCTATAACACAACCAAGTAGGAAATTCATCATACCAAGCAGGAATGAACCTTCTTGGCCCTCCACTAATAATCCTCTGGGGGAAGGAATGGTTTCGGGGCTGAAAAGGACCTTTTTGTAGATAAGCCCTTCGAACTTGATCCCGAACATTAGGATGGTAATCCCAAATTCGAGTGCGTAGTCCAGGATCAAGAGGGAGATCTTCTAAGTTGATTTCCAAGCAAGCTTGTTTTGAACTATTAACAACTTCATTTGGAGGCGATGATGACGCCATGACCGTTGATTTCCTTTTAAAATATCTTTCCATGACCGTTCTGTTTCAAAACTTGGTTCTTTTAGCATATATATTCAAACCAAAATTTCTTCAAAATTCCAACAATTTATCAAAAACTATTTCTATTTGCATAAATGCAATCATCAAGAAAACAGTACAAGAATAACCATCCAAACTAACAGAAATCTCTACAAAAATTCAGGAAAACACTACAAAAATTTCTTGATATACAACTACTGAGTACAAAAAATTGCTTCTTGAATAAAATTTTAGCTAGAGAAGTTTTCTTACCTCTGGTGAGATTGAGAGAGCCACGATAGATAACAGAAGAAGTATTTATGCTTCGAAAATCACTAGGCGTTAGGTAAGTGTGAGAATGAGAGAGAGAGACTTGAAAGAGATTCGCGCCTCCAGACGTCTGAGAGCGAGAAAGGGAGGGAAATTGCGGAAGGAAAAACAAAAAGAAAGAAAGGAACAGGGTAAGTGGTGGCACTTATTCATTAGGGCTCTAAGGGCATTTGGGTAATTGGACACGCTCATTCCACAAAAATAGTTCTTTAAGGCCTTGGGTCTGGCCCAATGAAAGGGTCCTCACATTACTGATTAATGGGCTCAAATTTGAATTCGCGTGATACTTCGACAGTGTGTGTGAGAAAACCACCTTCCTAATATCACTTATGTACAGAAATATATACAGTTAACACAACAAGTAACACGCATGGTAAATGACAAATCGAATTAAAACCTTTTCTTCTTTTTTTTGACAAATATGAAAAATCACATCCAAGATACTCTTGAAATCGGCCCAGTTTAAGCTGAGTGATTAGTGTTTGTAATTTACAAGTCTTGCTTATATGCCTGGATTTCTAGACCAATATTTGTTGACTATAAATATTTGCTTTCGCGTGTCTGAAACTTTGAGGTGTGCATGCTCATATATCCACAAAGATCCATGCACATGGTTGGGGACCCATATTGACTTTATCTTAGTAACATATTGACCTTGATCTTTTATTGGGGCTTTGGGTTAGGGATGGACAATGGCTACATGAGTACAAACTACCATCGTAATGGGGTAACTCATTTGGGTCAATTGGTACCCATTATCCATACCTACCTTAGGTATGCAATTCACCCTATCCAAATTTTATTGATGTAATTGTGATTCATATCTTAAGTGTAACTATTGAACAACATTTATGAATACATAGAAGTTATTCCTAAATTCAATGACGTGTGAGTCACTTCATAGAGGCACACCGCTAAAATTATAAAATTTTCCATATTGCAATTTTACCCTGAGATTGGCACAACATATTTGAAGAAATCTAAGACTTGATCTCTAGCTTTTTCATACTTTTCAACTGCACATTTGACATGAATAAAATTTCACCACTAATCATTCCATATTTGTGAAACTTCTCACAATATGTGTATTTGCACGCCTATTGTAACATTATAGTTAACAACAATGAGAAGACTCTGATTTATATCATTTTAAGAAAGTGTGATATTAGCAAGGGAGTGTAATTCATCTTTTTTTATGTTCATATCCATGAATAATGTAAATTTACATGAGATATTGGGAGAAACTAACAATTTCAGGTCAGTTTTCTTTATTCTATTCTTTTTAATTTGAGATAATTATTCAATATCTTACATTAACTTAAACTATAACTTGGGGTTCGACCACAAACTATAACCTGGGTTGTGTTTGAAATTACGGTAACCAAATTAATTAAAACTTTTTTTTTTGGTTAGATAATTAATTAAAACTTTAATGTTGTTAATGGCACAATATCTTTGTCAAAACAGGAAAAAGATGATCCCCTCACCCTTGTGTCATTCTTCAACTATGGTGACGCATAATTCAATGAAATTTTCACCAAAAATTGCAAACTCGGACCTAACACAGGGTAAAAAAGAGTTAAAATGGGACTTGGTGTTAAAAAACTAAGTCGGAAATTTCAATGACATTTTTGTTGATTTGGTTCGGCATTTTGGGATCGTTTCCATGCCAAATGACAGCTCGACATCGTTCCAGTGCCAAGGACAATTCTTGTTTGTGTTTTTGCTGGTTTGATGACAAGTGGAAAGAAAAATCAGAATGTGTTTTTTATATTGTTAATTTAATTTAATTTAATTTTTTTCGTTTTTATCAGTTTTAGTTGTAATTGTTTATTGGAATTTTAGTTGTTTTACCCTCTTAACTAGGACCCTTGTATTATTTAAACCCCACTAAAAAAAATCAGCCAATTTAATACCCAACTCATTAAAAATTAACCAATTTAAAAAATCAGCCACTAAAATCGATCAGATTATTATAGCATCTTCAACCGATATGTCAAATTGCTATATGGACATGAAATAACAAAAATTAAAGGTTAAAATTGCTCCAACTGCGTAGTCAAATCCTACATGGATTTGAAGGTTTAGAAGAGATATGTCAAAAATAACATATCAAAAAGCTTGATGTCAAATATTTTTTTACTCATGGACCCTACTATCATTTACTCTCTTTTAAAATTTTATGTATCATATGAGCCCCATATGATATTTGGCATTTTCGGGTGGAGTTCAATTTTTTTTTTCAAAGTGTCAAATTGCCACATAAGCCATCAATTCAAATTTAACATTTTGCATTTGACATCTCCCTTGGAGATGCTCTAAGACTCCAAAAATTCACGAAGTAATTGCCTTTTTCTTGGATTCCACCCATTACCTTCTTCAATAATTGAAGTTCAATTTCATGTCTACAGAACACTTCATTCAAGTGGCAGATAACTTGTCACGAGAGCCCATCCTCCTAACTAGATGTTAATCATTTGTGTCTTCATGGTGATATGTAGGGGTGCATGTGTCTTCCTAGGGGTGGGAATCAATTCGGCCGAACAAAATTGTAATTATAAGTTTAATTTGGTTTTCAATAAAAAGTCAAATGGTTTAAAAACCGAACTAGATCATATATGATTTGGTTTGGTTTGGTTTTGAGCTTTTGTAAATATGATTTTATTTATATTATATTTTACATGTGTAATACTCGAATTAGATCATAACTATATATGGATATTTGAATTGAGCTATATTAGTTATTGAAATTTGAAGTTTTATGGCATGTTGAGCTTTAGGATGGTTTCGTACTCTAAAAAATGATTTACGTATGAAGCAAGTTGTGAATTTGTTAGTTATAATTGGGTTAACAATGTTGAAAAAATACAAAAAGAAAGAGAATTGGGCTTAGGCTCAAACTAGATGAACCAAACCATCTTAAATTGGTTTGGTTTGGTTCGAATTTGTTTCCTTCATGACTTTAGTCAAAATCAAACCGAATCAAACCATTATATTGTAATTAGTTCGGCGGTGGTTTTAAGGAGAAACCAATTCAATCCGAACTATGCCCACCCCAATGTCTTGCTTTGGGATGTTGTCAAATAGGAAAGACGCTTTCAAGTTATTTAATTATGGTAGGCTTTACTTAGTGCGGAGCAAATTACTTTTCAAGGCCCTATATATCTTTATGTCAATCTTTTTTTAAGATATTTTAATTACAAGTGATGACAATAGTAGGTTCGACCCGTACATGTTATGTGGACTAGGCGATGGCACAAGGGCCCCAAAAAAAAGGGGTCTCCTATAATACTTTTTAGCTCAAGAGATATTCTAGCGGAAGGTAAAAAAAAAACATTTTGTGTGTAACTAGGGTTGGCAATGAGTCGTGTCGTGTTGGGATAATAAACGTATCAAGAATGCTCAACTCGAACCCAACTCGTTTAATAAACGTGTCGTGTCGGGTTCGGGTCGTCTTTTGTCGTGCGGTTCGAGTCGTGTAACGGGTTCATAAATAATGACATGCATGTTACAAAACTCACAACTGAAAAATTTTAAATAAAAAAAACGGAGAGAGGAGAGAAAATACAAGGAATAGAAAGAAAAAAAAAGATAGAGAGATGAGAGAAGAGAGAAGGAAAAGAAAAAAAAAATAGAGACAGAGAGAGAGGAGTGAAGAGAGAAGGAAAAAAATAAAAAATAAATAAAAAAGAGAGGAGAGAAAACTAAAGAAAAGGAAAAAAAAGAGAGGAGGGAAGAGAGAAGAGAGAAGAGAGAAGAGAGAAGGAAAAGAAAAAAAAAAGAAAAAGGAGAAGATAGACAGAAAACAAAAGAAGAAAAAGAAACATTATAAATATCAAAAGGCATAATATGTAATCACAAAGTTGTATGTAGCATGGTGGATAAAGTGTTTGAGAGGAATGAGGGTGGTGGAGGTTTGAAACCCCTTGTGTGCGTGTTGAACTCCTCATTTCTCTTCATTTTTTCGCGGGTTGGCGTATATTAAACGGGTTGACACGACCCGTTTAATAAACGGGTTAGACAGGTATTATAGCGGGTTAGCGGGTTGACCCAAAACCCACCTGTTTATTAAATGGGTCAGAACGGGTTGATCCGAAATTAACCTGTTTTTTTATCGTGCGGGTTTCGAGTCATGTATCGGGTCGTGTTCGCAATTGCCACCCATGTGTGTAACTGGTGCTTTTTTGGCTTTATTCTAAATTGTTTTGGGCCTTTTCTTTATTTTTTATATAGTGAGCCTATTTTACATAAACTAACACAGTTAACACCTACGCTTGAAAACTTTTTATTTAAGTTGTTGTTCAAAATAAGGTAAACATTGAATAAATGGTTAAATACCTTTTTGGGCAATGGGTTTTACACGAAAATTCAATTTGGTCATTGAGAAAACAAATTTAGTCAAATCGGTCACTGTGTTTCCAAAAATTTACAATTTATAGACATTTCTTTATCTTTCGTTAACTGTCATTAAATGCAGTTTACATTTTTATATTTTCAGGAAGCATGTTCAAGTCTTCTTCCTCTAACTCAGCGAGTTAGGTTATTGTGCTATAAGCGTTTTAAAAATGGGGGAAAATCTTGGGTTGAAATCGAAATAATTAGGTATCACGAATTGGGTGTTATAAGCCTGAATCGATTGAGTGAGAACTTCTTGTCACTGTGGAGGAGGAGTTTATGACATTGATATAGACTCCAATGTACTTTCTTAATGTAATACACCTGGTGCTTTACATGTTTTTACTAAAGCTCATCATGTAAATATCAACCAAACTGGAAAAGAGGTTATAACCGCGCCCAATTAATCTACACAAAATTGGTAATGTGTTATTGAGCTCCTTCCCCTCCCCCTGATCGCTGTATCTCCACACAAAAAATTGTTTTATTTCGTACCTAGTTACTTTTAGCAAGTGGAGGAGAAAAATTCCAGTGCAATTACCTTTTTTCTCTAGCTAAGGATCCATTGGTGTAGTAGTTTGGAGAAATGCTCTCTCAATAATGACCCTAGATTCGAGTCATAATATCGATGTGTGTGAGTTTAGTAAAGCTCTAGAAAAGTGGTTTGTCCTAACATCACCCAGTAAGATTTACTTGAAGCACTAGAAAAGTAGTTTGTCCAAGCATACAAAGCAATCGTTTAGTAAGCAATCATGTCTATTATCATTACTTTTTTCACTTGTGATATTTCTTTATCTTTCTTCATCACTTGACTCGGTTTCTTCACTGGTAAGTAACTTTTTGGTGCTTCCAGTTATAAATATTTAATTTGTATTTTCTATTTTTTGGTCTAGAATTGATTTGGTGAAAGCTCAAGTTGAGAAAAGAATAGTTAAAAAGCTGAATGTTATAGTTCATTTTGGTATTTGAGCTTGTTTCACTAAGCATCTACAAAAGTAGTTTGTCCAAGCATACGAGCAAAGGAATTGTTTAGTAAGCAATCATGTTTGTCATCATCACTTTCACTTGCGATGTTTCTTTATCTTTCTTCATCACCTGATTCAGCTTCTTCACTGGTAAGTACGTAACTTCTTGGTGTTTCCAGTTTTAAATATTTAATTTGTATTTTTTTTAATGCAATTGGTTTGGTGAATGGGGGAGCTAGGATTGTATGTGTTGGGGGCCGAACCATAACACAAGTTTTATAAAGAAAATTTTAATAAATGATAGACTATTAACAAAGTTATTGATTTTGAGTATTGGAGGATTAATCGGCTAATATGGCTTCATTTTCTTCTTCTTTTTTCGTTATATTAATTGTGGGACTACAAACATGTAATATATAATTGTGAATGAAATTATTATGAAGTGATTATAGGGGTTGC